CGAATATATACTGAGTATTTATAGGACTATTATTAGATCTCAGATTCAAAAACCAAATGATTTTTGTATAAAGTTTATTGCAAAAGATAATTTACAACAAAAAATTCAGTTAGAACAATAAAAATGTTTATTACTTGTCCTTTTGTTTATATGTATGTATCAAGAAACTTTAGTACAACACGGATAGTTTGTAACTCTAGAGAGCCCAAAACTATATTACTAACAAGCTGTTGGTTTCTGATAATATATGTAACAGCGGCCAAATCTCCATAGAAAGTCTTGAGGCATGCTCCAAACAATGACAAAACTTTTATTTCACAATATATGATATTGAAAATCAATTAGCCCATATAAAAAAGTTAATAGACCTTAGGAACTTAACGATTTCTTTAAATTAAAAAAAAACAAAAAGGTTTCTAAGGATCTGGTTGAAGAAGTTTAGGAATACGAACATACTACTCAGGTAACGCAAGTCATTTGAAATCATTTTTCATAACTAATAAAAATTATGTTATATAAGATAGAAGTACCTGCATACATTACAAATAAAAATAATGGATGAGTTTGGAAAAAAATTCAATTATTAAAGTATGGCAAAATATGACACCACATGCAAAGATGTATGTGCTCCCTTATTTGCATGCTACTCGGATACTCCGGTTAGAGGAGTAGGAGATGAGGATACTGTGGACATCAATCTGCACTGCTCTTTAACAACAGGATCTGAAAAACAGAGACCGTAAGTTTCAATTTTTTTTTTAGCAATCAACAGGACAACACAAGGAACAGTCTTTCATGCCAATTAGAAAATGAACTATTAGTTTGAAAATGTCCTTATAGAATGAAACTGCAGGTTAGTTACGAATAAAAGTGATAAAAACCAGAGTTATTTCCCATTTTTCACTAATGTTATCATTTCAACAGAAAACTGTTTATGTTAAAAGTAGCTACTTACAGAAATAGGAGTGATCCATTGCATCACGGGCTGTAAGGCGTTCTAAATGATCATAACGTAAAAGTTTATCCAGAAAATCTAACGCTTCTGGTGATACTAAATGTTGATTTTCACTATGCACAAAACGCTCCCATCTTTTCCGAGAATGCCTGAAAAAGTTATTGATATAAAAGATTATAAATAATGACGAAATATTACAATTTCAATGAAATGTCTTCAGTACAAAGAGAGACACTTAGTGAATAATGGCATATAATGGGAACTGTATAATTATCGTTTTCACACAGGCACCATTCTCAACTTGGTGAAATTGGTCTATAGAGAATCATGAAGAAGTTACTTTACCTTCAAAAATTTTGTTTACAAGCACACATATACATGTAATAGGCTGATTTTCATTTCTATAAATTCCAAAAATAAAATAGGTACTTGAGTTTCAGTGACAGGGGACCTGACGTCAGATAAAAATCGGCATTAGTTTGAAACATTTGTGTTATAAATGATGTGAAGAAAGCTCAATCATTTTTTGTTGTTTGTATTCATCTGCCTTCGTAAGTATGGATGATAAAAAATCTCAAAAAAGTATTGCATAAAACATTCAAACTGAAACGACCAGTAACTATTACTGAAAAATGAAAAAGTTAACAAAGCCTTGCAAATAGTTATGCTAAGGGATTCGTTAAATGAACTTGTTTTTGTTGCCAGGATCATTTTAATATCAATAACATTTATTTCAAAGTAATAACAATGAACTCAAATATATCCCTTCAATTTCATTATTGCTGCAAAAACTGAAATTTGAATAACCGAACTTGTATTTCACTGAATGACCCTACTAAATAAATTTTCTAATAAAGCTAATCTCAGTTGATGGCCAAATTGTAAATTTTGATTAGTAAACTGCATTTATATTATTATTGTCAATTTAATTAGCAGTTGATACATTATTTCAACTGTGATTCATCAAAGTAGTTCAATTATATCAATACCTGGCAAATATTCACTTACCTTCCTAGAATATCATTGAATCTTGGGTCTAGTTCTATGTGATATTTATCGAGATATTCAAAAAGTTCTTCGGTTCCTAGAACTTTGGCTATACGTACTAGCTGGTCATAATTATCGTGACCGTGAAAGAAAGGCTCCTTTCTGAAAATCATAGACGCCAGCATACAGCCAAGCGACCACATATCCAAAGAGTAATCGTACATCTGATAATCTACGAGAAGCTCAGGACCTTTGAAGTACCTTGAAGCTACCCTTACGTTATACTCCTGACCAGGGTGATAGAATTCTGCTAGACCCCAATCGATTAAACGTAATTTTCTATTTTCATGATCGATCATCACGTTGTGGGGCTTGACATCCCTGGAAAAATAATGAAAATGACATAAGTGTACTACAAAAATTAGAAAATCAAGAACAAACTATCAAATGTTAATTCGTGTTTTATATTTATTTAGCTATTTTTGTTAGAATTGGTTTTTCTGTTGAATGAGTGAATAAATGAAAAAACTTTTAACAGACAAATGTTTTTTTAATAAATTTCATTGATTGCTGGGATCAATAATATCACAAAAAGTCAATACTTTTCAGAAACACATGGAATCGTTTGTGAGGATTACTGCAGGTTATTTGCTAGGTCTAATTGGATTCCAATACTGTAACTGGGATAACCAACGAATATATGCCTTGACAGTTACATGCCTGGCATATCTTACAATGGAATGATTTTGACGATTTAGATTGTAGAAATATCAACACTCTCCAATTGGTATGAGCTTTGTCAGTTTTGAGTTGATACTCCTTCATTAGTTTTGCCAGTTCCATTAAGCTGATGGGCTATATTAATATGAAAATCCAAAAGATTTGAATATCTTCTGGATGAATTTCCCTGGCAGCTGTTTTTATAGCCTTGTCTCTACCAATTTCACTGATGCCCCAACATCACTTGCAGTTCAAACAATTTATTTTTGTATCAAAACAAATGATATTTCTCTGCCATTTTGAGTGAGAACGTGAAAGAAATTAATTATATGAGTACTCAGTTTAGTATCCATATATACTTCAGAGCAAACTGGATCTGATCTGATTATGTAAAAAAATTATTATTTCGTGAAGAAAAGTAGTAACACAGCACTTGCCAGATGGCATAGCTTTGCCGTGAAATCTCAATGTTAACAGTAATAAAATGTTTCAAATTCTGCATTGGTCAGTTTATTTTTTCACTCAATTTAAACATTTTGTGTCAAAATTTGATTACTCGAACTAGAGGTTGTTCTAGGATAATTGGAATTCTACTGTTCCATAACTATGTGAGAGTTTGCTTTATCTAATTTGAGCAGTGGAATACTTTATTTGAGGGATTTCCTGAAGGTTTCAGTGGCGAAACTAATTCCTGAACTGTGAATTTAGTCGAGTTTGCTTAATTGAGATTCTCTAATGAATATATCATGTATACATAAAGCAGTTTCAATTGTACTAGAGGTTTGACCTTATCAAATATCAGACCTTCAAACTTAATGTGGACTGTATATGGCAATCATTCAATTGTCAACTTCATATCGTCAGACCTTTTTCACTTGTGCCAGAAGTACATTTATACTGAACCTAACTTGAAGTAATAATTTTATGGAATGCCAGAGCCTGAAATGTCTCTAGAAAGTTCAAGTTTTTCAATAAAGTTAAACAAAAATTAGTATTACCAAAATGAACACCTTCAGAAAATTCTATGAAGAAATTTACTCAACAAGAATCCCTACATAAAGTTATTTAGAAAGGTAGAGTTAACACAGAAGAAGCTGCGGCACAGAATGTGAAGAAGGCACAACTGAGCTGCTGCTCACCTATTTCCTGAAAAAAAAACTGCCATCATGCGAAATTATTTAAAAATCTGAGATGGACTGTCAAGGGGGTTGTTGAAATGGCTACATGCGAGATTAACACCGACAGACCCTAAAATACGTTTCATTCAAAGTAGGGGGGTCTATTCAGAGATTGAAGGTTATAAATATAACAAACAAAAAATATATAAAAATAACAGTTACTTACCTATGCATGATACCCATACTGTGGCAATAATCCAAAGCTTTGAGTAATTCATACAAATAATAACGAATGTCAAAATCCGTAAGAGTTTGATAAAGTTGTTTAAAGTCTGTATTATTGACATGCTCAAAAATGAGTGCGGGAGTTCTTGAAACAGGATCTTTCACAACAGCTTCTAATGTTATTATATTTGTTCCGCCTCTCAAATTTTCTAAAATCTTTATCTCCCTTTTTATCTTCTTCTTCTTCACAGGCTACAACAAAAATCCAATGTAAACACACATATAACAAGAGACACCAAGACATTTTCAAACTGATAACAAGACCTGCAACAAAAGCTAACAATAGATATTACAGGATTATTCCCACAAATTTTTCAATGCTGAATACCATCCCAAATTAATTTAACATATTAAAATATGTCTGGAAATATAACCATGAAAAGGTGATTTAGAAAGCTGAGTTATTCCAATTTCAATGAAAAATTTTGATCAGCATAGGAAAATTTAAAAAAAATCACAACTAAACTTGCAGATCTTGTTATTAGTAATACAGTAATGTTACAGCTATTTCAATTCCTCACAAGATACATTATATAAAAAAAAACTATTTTTGAATAGTTTCGTTTAAATGAAATTGTATATGTATTCATTGTTTCTGCGTCCATTCATTGCATATTTACATATGATCCTGCATTCTCAACCTTTCTGCGTCCATATACGAACGTTGAAAGTTTTTTCTATGTTATAGTAACAGAAGAGCCAATGAATCCTTAGCTCTGATAAAATTGTGAAGTTCATATATATTGTGGCATTGTTGGAAATTCATGTGAAGTTGATTAGCTGTAACTGCTCGCAATGAAAGAGCTATACAAATAAGGATAACTTGATAACAAACTCTTGTTGGATATCTCCATTCTCGAATCATGGGAAATCTTTTTCCACTAAGAAGTAACGTCAAAATGACATAATTTGACATTCTAGAGCATATGTTGAATTGCCGTTTGGTTGACTGTGTTGGACCCGCAATGACGAAAAAATAGAAGAAAGTAAAATATGACGTCAGTTTTCATTGAAAAAAGTTTCCTATAACTTGAGAATTGGTGTTTGGTATCATCAGCGGTTAACACGAAACTGACAGCAATTAGCAAAGCAGACGTGTTTTTTATAAAAATAATGATGTTCCTTTCAATAATCAATATTAAGTCAACAATTTTATCAAAAAACACAACCACTTCACAAATACGGCAAGCTTTCAAATTTAACAGAAATTTTCTGATGGATTGCTTCAACCAATAGAAATGCAGTATTGTTTGAACAGGCCAATAAATGATATATCCGATCAATCAACATAATAATGCAGGAAGCACGAAGTAAAAGCAATACCCAGTCTTGCAAATGCCATCTGAGATGATGGCAAAATGTTGACATTCAATACACACAATGGATGAAAACTTGAAAAAACAACTCATCATATATATAAAGGTTGCCCAGGTAAATTTATAACCCAATTTTCTTAGAACAAAATCCTTGAAGACACTGTGCCAATTAGATTCATTATATACAGCATCAACATCTAAAAATACTGCTTCGTTTCACAAGTCATTATGTTTTGAAATAAATACCATTTTATGAGAAATATAGATTTAATAATATGCACTGGCCATTGGAAAGAAAACATTGAGTCCAATAACTGAAAATGGTTGGAGAGGTTCACCGTTTGGTGGTTCAAAGTGTAACATATTTGCAATGTGCACTTCTGTATTTATACAATGAAAAAAATTTCATTTGTAAGAAATGTGCATCAGAAGTATTTGAGTGTTTTTTAGGTCTTTTGATAGTGATAGTTTTTCATTTTTCAGTTATTTATTTGGGTAACACAAGGTTTGAAAATATATGAACTGAGTACACATATTACTGATGATGTACCACAACATGTTTTTCTGTGCTGTGATGTAGTTGACAAGAATTTTCAAGGTCCATGGCAGGAGTTTATATGAAAAGACNTTGGTCCAATATTCTCAAAGTGATTCTGCTGGTTGAACAGATGTAGGGTGATTTATTGCGAATTTGGACAAACAAACAACAATATTATTCAATAATATCTGTTTATTAAAGAACACTTACCTTCAATATTTTCACTACACATTTTTCATTATTTGTTATATTAATGGCTTCAAATACTTCACTGTATTTTCCTCTTCCTAGTTTGCGCACCAACTGGTAGTCATCCTGTTGGCCCCAATCAACTACATAACTCTCATAGTCCCAGTATTCCCTTGGTTTGTGTGAGTTAACATCAGAATACACTCTAGCTCGACTGGGGACTGCCATTCTTTGATAAAGCACTTTATTATTTACAAAATGTCGCACATATGCTTTGTTTCCTTCGTTACACGCTGAAAAAAAAATTGAAAATGAAAATATCAAAGACAATTCAAACAGTGAAGTAGGAAATGATCTAGTACAGGGCAAAGTTACCTTGTTCAAAACACAATTTAGCGATTCTAGAAAATTTTATCAGCATAACTACATTTTATTATCTTCGAATTTTTCAAACTGAATGATGATTTTCAAACTGAGCCTCGTATAGGTAGGTACTCGCCATTCCCCTCATACTAGACTAGCAAGAATGGATAAAGCCTACTCTTAAATACATCATACCTAATTCATTCCGGCGAAAACTAATTTATTGATACATCCAGCTAACACATAGCAACTTAGATAACTTTGAGATTTATTTATAAATTTTTCCGATCTATTTTAATTCACTTACTAAGCCGGCTTCTTAGTAAAGATACGGAATCAAGATGGAAGGAAGTCCCATCCCGCCACGATATACTGAATTGAAGGCTTATTTCAGTATACCGTATACCCCTCTAAAACTACATTGCACACTACAGGGGCGTACCTTCTTTACAAACACCATGTGCTCGGTCTGAAAAATCCTGCTTTAGACACTTTACTTCCAGGGTTTTTCTTGCGAGTATTGTAGGAAATATATCTAATGATAAAATCTGGAAAAACTTTACCTTGGAGCTAAAGTTGACAAAAATAATGGATAGTTTACGAACAAATTAGCACACCACTGATTTAAATAGAAATCTACAGGCTGTAGTGACCAATGCTGCCAATGTTGAACAGTTGATCTAATGTTTTGTACGAACGACTTACCTAAATTTCACAGAACTACACAAGTGACTTCATGACATGAGGAGGTTCCTATAATGTTTTTATGAAATAAAGAAAGCATACTTTTTTTTGAATATTCAATGGACCTCAGAATACTCAAACAACAGTAAAATTTCTCAAAGCGCTTTCATCTTCAAAACATTCAAATTTTAAAATATCGTTGTCTTATGGAATTAATAATAATGATAATAATAATAATTTTGTTTTGTCTTTCAAAATTGACTTATGTCCACTTTAGCAGAATTATGAATGAACTGACCCGTTACTTGATGTAAATTATTAACACTATTCATGATAATAATTAAACAATTTTAACAAACATTTTTTTAAATTCCAGACGTGTTTCGCTAATATCGTAGCTTCATCGGTAGTAACAAATAGTTCTCATTGGCATGCATTTCTTATGTAGAATCATTATCATACAATCTTATAAACAATGGTGAAGTTTTTCAAATTGCTTTTTCATTCAAAATACTCAAATATGGTAAGAATTGTAAGTCCGTGAGTACGTACTATTTATTACTACCGATGAAGCTACGGTGTTAGCGAAACACGTTTAGACTTGGAAAACATTTTTTTGTAAAAATTGTTTAATTATTATCATAGTTGGCAGAATTATTTTGATAACAGTACCAATCTCGGCCTCGCCATTAACAACAATTCATCCGATCGAGAGCAAGTTACAGGAAAATTATGTTTGAAATAGAATAACATATCCCAATAGTGGCGATAGAGATTTTAGTATACAGGCTCTCTTGATTCTTTTCTAATGATACTAAAGCCAAATGTTTGGTTTTATAGTATGTTTTAGGCGAAAATAGGAGTTGAAATTTTATTATAGGTATAGAGAATGGGACAACACATTTATTGGAGTAGAAAAATCATGATCTGAGCACAGAATAATAAACAATAAGAAGGAACACTCCTTTGATTTCAGGAATATATCATAAACTTTTCTTTATGGAATCTATTTTCGTTGAACACCGCCATTTTGGGAGGTTGAAATCTGAAACACAGCGGCGCTGATATCGAAGAATTAGATCGGGATTCAGATAATCTTATAACTTGTCATTGAGTGAGAAAACCCCCTTTTTATTGTTCACTTTTCACACTCTTATCAGTCTTCCCTATGAAAATTACTCAATAATTGAAAGTACTTATCTATGAATTGATGGATGTAACGTTACTGCGCGATGAGAGACCATCATGAAAAATGAGAAATTAACCTTTCTATGTTTCATTTTTCATGAAAGTACTTATATCTGCCTAGATTTCTGAAGGTTTGGGTATTTGGGGAGAAGGTTCATGATCTTTCGACGAGACTGCTCATATAATTGAGATCACTTATTCTCACAGGTTAGTTTTGAAAAAATCTGTTTTTCCGTTAACCAGCTGTTGCACCCCTACGAACGACAAACCTCAGAAGTTGAAACTTGTGCGAACTAAGAATTAACAAGGTCTTATCTTTTAACGTGTGATTCCTAGCACGGATTAATCATTGGATTATATTTCGCTGTCTCGTCTCAGATTATAAATCACCTTGTAGATGTTTAAAGAATGATTTGCAATCTAGGTTAACGTGTATATTACTATGAAAAATACTTTATACATACACGGTAGTTTAGAAAATATATTTTGCAATACACAATTGACAAAATATCGAATAAGAAAATGTATAATATATAACAGTAATTTATATGTAAATAACAACATTTCACAGTTTCATTTTGAATCTAATACAATTTCCGAACCTTTCAAAACACCTGGTACAAAGTCTTGCCATTAGGTAATACTGGTTTGTTGAAAAATTCATCAAGTACCCTGGATTTTTCAGACCGCCGGGTCCACACAGGGCACAAAACAGCTTATCATTTTTTTTTTTGGTGTTGCAGCGTTAAGGTTCATTTATGCTCATCCGAATATTGCATTCATACTTGTACAATTTTTATATATTTCATAACCAGATATCCTTTCTGATAATAATTCACTATTCATGAATATTCCCCAATTTTCAACAAATTTGTCCAATCTACCTATTTATTTTACCTGCACCACTTAATCTGTGCCTGTGCCTTCCTGTACTGACTCTGGACTTTCTTCTTCCCATGAATGCTGCTATTTTCTTTGCTTCTTTTCTCCTTTTATGTTGTGTACGTATTTGTCAAGCTGGCGCTTGAAGTTTAGAGATCTTACCAATTGGTAACTGTATTTGTCGATAAGCTGCAACAGTAGTATGTATTGATTTCATTTTTAGTTCTGATGACGCTTTTCAAATTTCTCTATTATTTTCCATATTAGTAACTAGATTGTTTTAACAAACGGATCTGAAAGTGACATACTTACGATGACAGGAAATTGTATGTTGTACATTCGTAAGTATTTTCGTAGCATTATGTACATGGAGCAGATGAGGATCAGTATTTTCTGATGGTGATGAAAAAAGTATTCTGAGTGCTGCTACAGCTCTGATAGCAGCACTCAGTTGTTCCTGTATTTTGGACATGTAGTTATCCTGCTTTTTCAATATCTTATTGAGATATTCCTAAATTTCAATATTCAGTTTGCGAGTATTCAAAGCTGAAATATTGCCAAATACAGGGTATTTGTCAATCAATGCACTTCTTTCAGTTTTGTTTACGCTCTCAAAAAAAATTGTCTATCTATTCATTATTTGTTCATCGGCATTCGGTCCTACCTTTTTATCTATCGGTCAGAGAATCAGGTCTAAACAATTCCAAATCGTTCATTTCTGAAGGTTCTACGAATATTTGGGATAAATTTGTTTCTTCCAATTACTGTTGAAATGACTCATCACACCTGGATGGTCAAGCTAGAGCTGGATCATATTTCAAAGGGAAATTTAAAGATAACTAGAGTGTTTTTTCTGCTTGCATTGATTACCTCTTTTATGTTTTTACGGTTAATATAATTGAGTGACAAAAATTTACAAGTACATAATATGTACTTGTACATGTACTTGTACTTATATAATTCATTTGTTTTGAAAACAAAAGAAATTCACTCACTTTGTCGAGGATATTTCAATTGCTTCGATATTTTGGCCAACTTTCTATGGACACTCTCTAATTTCTCCTCTCTATATCGTTTGCTTCCCATTATTAACAATTCGAAGTAAAATACTTTAATCAATTCGAACGTCAGTTCAATATTGTACGACTCACTAAAGTTATATAGCAATATTCAGTGAGAGACTAATAAGAGTAATAAAAGTGACAAACAAAAAAGATGTTACTTTAAACGTCGTACAGTTCGTTGGAACACACTAATATTACAAGGTGGTTTATGAGGCAAGACTACGAAATATAATAATGGGTAAATGATGTCTTTGCCATCCTCTGAATATGTAATCGTTAATTTTGAACCAATTATTCAATTTGGTAGAAAGCTTTGATTATAGTGTGTAGGCTTTTACGACTGGTGTCTGACAAATTATCCGATGTTTCTGGGTTTATTAGCCGAGGTCTGCATGTTTTCATACCTGATGTTTCGTCTGCTACTGCGGCAGACATTATCAAGGGCGATGTGACAACGGTCGAAGTGAGATATATCATATATTTTCTTCAAAAAATAAGTTTTGTGGGAAGTCTAATAAAAATTACGGAACAGTGCCAACTCATCGGTCCTTCCGATGGAACGTAGTCCATGGCATAATATGCCATTGTCCAATTGTCCAATTGTCCAATACGCATTCAAATTAAGTTATAAATCATGTGCTGAGTGGAATGGGAAATCCCAATTGTGCGACTACGGGAAAATTTTACTTTATGGGATACTCACGGATTTTCGCAATTTTTGTCTGTGATGATACTACGTTATGGTAGGAATTCAGAACACTTTATTTTTTGTCGGACTCAATTAGTTTTCGAGATATAGCCTGTCAAAGTTTGTATGATGTCATATTTTACCTTTTTTTCAAGCAATAAACGATTGCAATTCACATATTTTTTATTCAACACATCATTTTCCATATCATCGCACTTTTTTTTATCCCTTTTCATTCACTTATTGCCAAGTTTCTTGAAATTAGATTGAAATTCCATAATTTGTCACATACTAACTCAACCTAACCTATCCCAACCTAACCTAACCCGACCTAACCTAACTCAGTCTAACCTTACTTCATTAAAAAACTATGTAACCTCAACATCTAACCTGATCTCCAAATTCTAAAAGAACGTATTTTCTAATATTTACTGTTGTAAAAATTATCTTTCCTCAACTTCTAACCTGACGTATTTTCTAATAGTGAAACTTAATGCAATTTATAAAAAGTGATGTGTGCACCTGACAAATTATGGAATTTCATTCTAATTTCAGGAAACTCGGCAATAAGTGATTGGAAAGGGATAGAAAACGGTGCGATGATATGGAAAAAGTTGTGTTAAATAAATAAAATATGTGAATTGCAATCGTTTATTGCTTAAAAAAAAAAGTAAAATATGACGCCATACAAATTTTGACAGGCTATATCTCGAAAACTAATTGAATCCGACAAAAAATAAAAAGTGTTCTGAATTCCTACCATCATGTAGTATCATTCTAGAAAAAATTGCGAAAATCCGTGAGTATGCCATAAAGGATAATTTAGCCTAAGAGATGTTCTAAGTATATATGATTTTATTTCAATTTCAATTTTTACAAATTTTATGTTTGCAAATCAGAGAAATATGCTCTGCTGCTGTAAGGATGACGTAAACAAATATGTCTGCCGCCATCCATTCGCGTATGTAGAAGCCAGTTCTAGACATGGTAATATCACAGTAGAAATCTAGCTTTCCACTGTGGTAATAGGTTTGTTCTAGCAGCGATTTCAAACGATACGGAATCGTACGAAGCATGCGCATACGAATATAGGCGTTCTAGCAAAGCAAATCCAGGATAGAATTCTTATTTTTGCTCATTTGTCTGAGCAAATTATTTCTTGTTTCTAATAATTCATATCTCTTCTTTCTTATTTATAACTTTTCTTTTTCCAATTTTAACATTTCTTCTATTTTGAATTTTTCCATTTTGACCAAGCCGATGACTATTCAAGCCAATTCAATATGTTCATTTTTATCGGTTTTCACCTTCACTTTTCGCTGCACAAAATAGAAATTCAAATTTCCAACTAATAAGTCAGTTTAAATGACAATTTGACAATTGACATTTATCAACACAAATAAGCGTTCTAGCAGGACATGAATCCCAAACTATTTTCAACCAGTCTCGCGGCATACATGCGCAGTTGGCCAGTCCATAACACCAGCTTCAAACCATCCGAAATGTCTTGCTAGAACAAACCTAATATTGACTGGGCGTGACGTCACATTTACATATTTCAACTGCGGATTACACAGCGCCACAGCATCATGTGACAAATCAAATCCCAAAATTTTCACATGCATCAATGCAAAACGTAGTTGGAGTCAGTGTTCTTTTTCCAATGGCGTGTCAATATTTATTATTACGTCACTGAGTCATCAGTATTGCCATTAGTAGCCCAATTGGGCTAGATTTAGCCGGCCCCTTTGGCCGGACAGTCACAGCAGCTTAGGCTAATGAATGAAGACAATTTTTTTTTGACAAATTTAAGAAGGAAGTATGATGAACAAATCAAAAGAGGTTCGATTTTCTGCAATTTTCAGTTTTGGTTTTATTGTCGATCAACGACGTTGATTCAACGAAGAACCTTTCATCAGAATCTTGAGATTAAATTGATCTTGGCAATTTCACAATTTTCTTGAGACAGTTATTTCAATTCTTGCACCATTTATCAACATGTGTACAAAGTTGGGTCAATCTCATTTCTCGCATCGAGAGGTTTTTGACAAAACAAAAGCGAATCAGTTGAAACACCTGGGTTTCTATATTCGCATTTGGGTTGTTATCAGCCAATTCGATTTCTAGTAATTTTATTTGCCGATGAAGACAATTTCTGCTTCCATATGTGCATAACACGAAAAATTCATATTATTTCTACTTGAAATGCATAATTTTGATCACCTATCTCTGATTTGGCATAATTTCTTCTTCTTTCTGTTTATTATGATTGCATGATTTCTTCGAAGAATTCCAGAAATTTTCAGGCATTGCAACATGATTTTAGGCTTTAGAAAAATGTATTACGGTGCATAACATCAACGTAGTGAAGCTTGGCTTGAATGTAAAGATGAATATTATATTTATCTACAAGAGTTCCTGAATTCATTGAAAAATATACCGACTGATCTGATAAATTCATCAATCAATTTGAAACTTCAGCACATTTCTATTGACTCAATTTATTTCATGCTTGAATCATGAGATAAGGAAGGCTTACTCTAAAATGTTTATGAATTATGTGGTTTCAACTAAACTGTGTAATGCCGACTTGAAAGCTGGAGTCATGTTCAATGGATCAATCTACTCACCATGATTGTACGTTTAGTAAATATCAGATGAATTTCATTCGTTTAACAAACATTTCAATTATGGTCGAAGGGTCCTGATAGTAGAGGAGAAGGAAACATAAAGAAGAAGAATAATAATAAACTTCTAACCTCTTTTGAATCTGTTGCAAAGTTGGAGACATTCACTTGTGTTCTTGAGCACGTGTTGTGAAGACGTACGAAAACAGTTTCTTACAAGCAAAATGGATAAACCAGTAGTCCTAGCTCGTGTCATGAAAGTTTTGGGAAGAACCGGATCTCAGGGACAATGTACCCAGGTGAAAGTTGAATTCATTGGTGAACAAAACCGACAGATCATCAGGAACGTAAAAGGACCCGTCAGAGAAGGTGATATTCTCACGTTGCTGGAATCCGAAAGAGAAGCTAGAAGACTGAGATAACTATTTTGCAGTTTTTTCCATCTGTAAGCATTGTACTGTTTAAAACTATCATATTGTAAAAGCAATGGCAAAACTGTAAATGATATATTATATTGGTTTTGTATATTTTGTGGTTTTCATTTAATAGTTTTGAATTATCGATGTTTATGTTATTCAAAAGGTCTGACATTATTGACACGCTAAAGGCTCACCCTCCCAGGGGCCCTATTCTAGAAATAGTGGTGATATTATCTCTAATTTCAGATGGTGAAATTAGAGATAATATCACATACACGGATCAAATACCCGGAAAAACCAGTTCAGCATATTCCTATCTGTGAAAACTTCAGATTTCATATTCGATACCTTAACGGGGAGATGAGGTCAACTAAGAAGAAGAAGAACTCAGGTAAAACTCAACAACATTTAA